CCAGCATCTGTTGGATTACAGTCAGCCAACCTGTCATCTGTGAAATGAAGGCTATAGTATGGGAGGAGAGGGGCCACAGGAGGGGACAGACGGCCAGACAGAACGAGAGATAGAGGGACAGAGGACGATGTGCGAGGAAGGGAGAGGAGAGGGTCATGCAGATTGGTTTAGAAAAGGTTATTGTGTAAATGAAAGAGTCAATTTGTTCATATTAGGCGGAGGAGGGACAAAAGCAGAGGAAGACAAAAGTGATCGGAGAGACGAAGGCAGCGATGGGTGAGGGGTCGCAGGACGAGAAGGACAGACACACCTGACCTTCAGATAAATCATTTCATTTCTCTGTCCTCATGTATCACTGCCTCTGAGCATCAGGCTGAGGAGCAATCCCTTTGACCCCCACCCTTCTTCCTTTTTACTCCTCCGTCTCATCCCTCTCTCTCCTCTGTCACCCACTGCTGAACTCACCCATCGCCTCCACCTGCTTTGTCCCCCCTGAGGGAATCATTTTCACTCTAACAACTTCAATTAACCTTACCCCTCCATTCACACCAACACATGCTGCCATGCACACACACACACACAAATGCGCTGAGAAGACCATGTCTGCACATGCACATCCCATATCAGTCACCGCTGTTAAGGTCACTGGACTGAGAGACGGAGGCTCCGCAGAGCTTCTCTGCTGACATGTGAAAGAATGTGAGGCTACAGCCACAATGCATGTGTACAAACTATCCCTGAGCAAATAATAGTGACACTGTCATAAATCCGGTGAAATAATTAGAGCTGAAAGAGCCAAAGGAAATGTATTTAATTTCATGCTCCAAGAAATGACAAATGTCTGTTTCGTTTTGTGTCCAGGATTAACTTTGGCTGAGATACCTCAAGGTTGGAGGGGACGTATATATATTCAGTGAGACTAAGGTGAAAAGTGGACTCCAGGCATACACACACACACGCACACACACACACACACACACACACGCACACACACACACACACACACACACACACATGCACACTGTTTCTCTGAGCCAGTTTTCAAAATTACACCACAGCTTTTTGATGCTGAAATTGCAAGAATTAATCAGATTCCGCTGCGCAGGAAACTTGAGAGAGCCAAATGAAATACGCAAAGTATATTGGTCTACTTTGATTTGATAGGGTAGGATCACTTTCTCTAAAGCCAGCTGAGGGGTAGGGGGTGGGTGGGGTGTAATCTGATGAAGCCACACACACAAACACACACACACACACACACACACTCTGTTTGGCAAGTTTGCTGGTACAAAGCAGATCTGGAATTGAAGGTTTGGTGGGTTTCCAGGCTGCACAGCAGTAAACAGCTTTCAGGGTCTTTGCTCTGCTGTTAAAAAGAAGCTCCTGCTTCTGTGTCTCTGTGTTCATGCAAACATGTATGTGTGTGTGCAAAAACAGCATGTGTGTGTGTGTGTGTGTGTGGTTTAAATCCACACAGCTGCTCTTGAAATCTGACTTGGCTGGTGTGTGAACGCCTGCAGCCTGGGAACTCTGGCCTTTTTACTCATTTTCATCATCGCTTAGCTGCTCCATAACAACGCCAGGCTGCTGTTTGAACAGCGACGTCCAAAAACCAACAAGTGCCAACATTGTAACTGAGGCGCTTTAATATACTGTAATGATGAGATAATAATCTTTAATCATAGCAGAACACGGGGAGAGTGACGATTCCGCCATATGGATTCAAAACCTCTGTTTATTCAGATGTTGTTTTCAGCACTCACGCTTGTATTTTCAATAATAACTGATGAGGCTACAGCTTGTCTGATCATAGCTTCAATTAGCTCCCCGACAAGAACCAGGAGACAAGGACTGATTTCTCATCTGATTATAATAATATGACCTGTGAAGGAATTAAGAGTGCAGGCGGAAAAAGAACAAAATATAATCAGTTGTAAAACACACGCAAATGCATGCACAGAAACACAACCTCTAATCATGCACTAAAACACACCCAATCACTCCACAACCGCCACCATTCTTTCCCCATATCCAGCAGAGCTCTCCCTGGGCTTATCAGTGCATAATTGCAGCTGATTGGTGTATCATTGCTCTGGTTAATCTGCCTGTGGGTGGCTAATAAAGGAGCTCCATCAGGGATGTTATCAATTGTAGGCAGAAGGTGTGTGCAAGGAGAGAAACTGGTGAGGAGGAAGGAAAGAGAGGAAGCAGGTAGAGAGGAAGGGGAGGGGGAAGATGTGAAGGAAGTGACTGTGGGATGAAAGGGGGGAAGAGGAATAAGATTTTTGATTCATGTCGAGGGACAAAGGGAGGACGATTACAGAGGAAACACCAGAAATGAGATAAAATCCACGGGTTTGTGGTTCAGGCTGTGTCCGAGTTAAAGTGAGCTGGATGCTGTTCTGACAACAGTTGTGGGAGTGATCTCGTTCCCTGGAGAATCCTGTGTATGATTGATGTGTAGCCTTGTTCCTCAGTTGTGTTTCTAAACAGAGGCTGGAGGAGGAAGAGGAGGAGGAGGAGGAGGTGATTAGATTCCTCTCCATTAGGCTGCAGACCGAGACAGGTGGGATATCACCCGCAGCAGACGCAGCTCGGTCCCAATGCCCCGTGCAATAACAATATGTTGGCAACTGACCCTGTGGTGTGAGAGGGGAAGCCATCACTGCAGAAAGCTTGTGTTTCTTCTTTTCTTTTTTCCTCCACTGATTGAATTGGCACACACTCCAGAGACGGTTGAAAGAAGCGGTACAGAGAGGATGAGGACGACCACTAATTCAGCAGCAAGGACAAGCAGAAGTGGCAAAGAGGAGAAGTTTCGCTGAAGGCAAACTGAGGACATTGAGCGGCGGGAGATGGAGTTTGATTTCACAGACATCTAGAGCAGCTTCATCTGACTCCAGCAGTGTTTTATAACGTCAAATATCCTCATACACACACACACACAGGCACCTTAACACATTTTGCTGATGATTTCATTACTTTTCAAACCACGGCCCATGTGTTAGATGTTGCTTTAACTGGAGCGTTGGGACTGCCGTGTGAGGAGAAGCGGCCTGAGGTTCTGAGTAGATCATTTTGCTGTATACCTTTGATTCACTGCAGAATGATGATGTGGAGAAAGGATGGATTTTTCAGTTCGCTACCTCCAAACTGTGAGACGTGTTTTAGAGAACCCATTTTCTTCAGCTTTACTCCACTGAAATGAGTTGATGGACTCCTGACGAACTCACCCCGGTGGAACCATGGGGCGGCAGCATCAGTAATATGAACTGATGAGTGATCCACTCAGTGAAACCATCGACTAACCACGACCAGGTCTTTTTTTTTTTTACCTGATGTATTTAACCTGTGTTGTGTGAGCTGATGGTTTCACTGTGTATCTGTTTTCACTGTTTGTGTGTTAATGTGAATGTATGTCTATATATGTTTTTTTATTATGTTCATATGTTTCAATGCAAGTTTTTCATTATTTACACCTCTTGCAATCTTTAAAACATGCTTTGTGTTGACCTTGGAAAGCAGTTTCATTATCATATACCTTAATTATTAGTAATATATATTATTAGTAGTAGTAGATGTAGTAGTAGCAGTAGTATATTTCATGTTACCCAACCAGAAACTAGTCTGCAAATTAACATTTGGGGCCACGTGACAATGCAAGTGAAGAAGAGTTTGCCTGATGTTTGTTCCACTGGCTTTATAATAGCACCGCCTGCTGGTGAGTTTCATGCATTACACCAGTGTAGTTAATAAATGCACATGCAAACAGAAATTTATATAAACAAAGAAAACCTGATGTTATAGGAGGAGAACATATATAATCATGTACAACAATTATGTTTTTTTATTTTGCTTCGATTTGTTTGTGTGTATTGCAAGTAGTAATTGACAAAACAAGAAAATGTACTTTTATATAACATTTATATAACATTCTTACTTTTGCTTCTAGAAAATGTTTGGTCACAGAGACTAAGTGATAACAGCCTCTCTGTTAAAGGTTGCAGGGACATTGTACTTCAGCTGCTTCTGTGGCCCTCTGGACTTGACCTCCTGTATGTCTCTGTTTGTCTGAGCTGAACTTTTGTGTTCTTGTGATCTGTTATTCTTTACATGACGGGTTTGTGACCCATGTCCTCCTGTCAAATAAGTATATTGTTAAAGAACTCTTATTTGTCACGTGTACAAGTATTCAAAACCAATGATTTTAACATGGAACAAGGAACAGAGATGTATAAATACAACTGAAATCCTATGTTGCAACTGTTGTACAAAGTCTGTGTGTCTTGTCTGTAGAAGCAGCTCAATCAGACTGACAGATTAACTCCAGATAGGAAACACAAGCGGCTGGTTGAGTCACAACCTTAACTGGGTTGTAATTACTTACATAGAACAGCAGGTGGCGCAAGCAAAATGCAATTCATGTATTTCCTTTTATAAGAGGCTGACACCCCAACGTGTGAATGTTACATCAGCAGCTATCATGACACAGGAAACATATATGAAAAACTGTATATTTGTATTATTATAGTTGTTTTTGCTCTTATTATTGCTATAATTATTATGATGGTGTTGTTTTGTTGTTATCATTATTAATATTATGATTATTATTATTGCATTTTTGTACATGAGTCATGTTTTAGGAATTCCCTGCGACATGTAAGCTGTTGAGCTGCTATAATGGGTATCAACTGTATAAAAGCAGGATTATTAAAGTGTTGTGATATGAAAGTAGGAATTAAACATGACGGTGTTTCCTGAAACATGTGGATGGAAGAAACAGGCCGATAGACACATGTTCTCCAGAGCAGCCTTCATACCACATCACTGCTCCACCAGGGACCATTAAACCTGGAGGTGGTGATGAAGACGTTCGATGGAAAAAGAGAGGATGATGCGCAGACTCATCCCCTCCGCATCCTGCCTAGGACGTGACCGGCAACATGCGCTGCGGCCTCGGACCCGCCCCCAGCTCATTGCGTATGCGCGCACGTAGCGTTCACGGAGCAGCCTTTAAATGGACTCGCCCCCTTCCGCAGCACCACTTCTTTCTGCGGAGAAAAGCTGCCCACGGGGAAGAGGAAGACCCACTCCGGCTCAAGTTCTCACTCTTGTTCGTTACTGAAATCTCAAGGTAAGAACAAAAAAGACATTGGATTGTGAGCTGCGTCAGGCTTGTTCCGTGCTCATCCGGGAATTATCTCCATCCATTTCCTTGTTCATTGATCAGAACGGATAAGAGACTTTATCAACCTGATGCGCATTTTTAGGATCATCCAGACAGACGAGGATGCCGGGGGCGGGGGGGGTTATCAACAATTAACGATTATGTTGATTGGTTTGAGGATTACTAGGCACTACTGCACTACTGCTTACTCCTATTCCACATTGGTGCAATGATGGGCTCATGTTTTGGATGAGAGCGATTTCCACAGAATAGTCGAGGCAGCATGAAGTAGGCCTGTAAGTTTCCTACACTCGCCGCATCGCCGCGTATTACACGAGATGGATGGAAATCTAAATTATGGACCCGCTTCTAGAAGAGTCATGGAGTCACTGCCCAGTGGCCTCCACGCGTAAAAATGTAAATATTATTATTATTAGTCGATAGTATGATTATAATAAGTCGAGAGAAGAACCCTTAAGTTATCGGTCAACACATCAAAGGTATTCGATCAGTACATCAAAGGACCGAATTCACTCGCTGTTACACAAGTTCTCCTCCGCAGCCGGTGTCGAGCTGGCTCGTGAGAATGAAACTCGCTGCACCTACCATCATGGCCTGTGGGTTGGGGGCAGGTCTTACAGGGACAGTGGTGGTGATGCTGCTGCTGATGTATTATCATCACTGGTGTTTTAGTAATTTGCCATTTTTTATGATCACATCAATTATTTTAAAATATTGATGAGCATTTTTCAGATTAATCAAACTAATGCCTTTCCTGGCACAGTTGGCAGCTTCAGTTGATCCATTACATTATCAGAAAAGACAGCTTTTTCCCCTGCATGTGAATTTGTGAAAGTGAACTAGTGATGTGAAAGACTAAAGCTCTGCTGCGATACCTGACACCATATCAGAGCTCAGTAAACGCTTAATAACTTACCCTGCTGGTGATCAGATTAAGTAATTGTCCTTATGTGCTGGGAAATATGATTATTCATACACAGAAAGAAGTGATAGTCGTCCAGTTTTGTCGAACTGTCTCAGAAATTCATATAATTTCAAGGATTGACATTAACATCCATCTCGCTCTCACTCTTACCAACCATATCGCATTAAATTCTTTCAGCTCCTAATAATCCTTCTTGTAATCCTCATTTAGTCAAGCTAAGGAGTAATATGGCTGTTTGTACAGCACAGTGTAAAGACAGGAATGCTGGCCAGTATTGAACATTATGCTTTAATCCTTAACTGTACGTTAACAAAGGGTTTTCTTGTAACTCGGCTAACCTCAGGGTCAAGTCCTGCTATGTAATAAGCCTTCAGCTCACTCTGAGTGAGAGGTAATTGGATAAAGGGACATAAGGTATGACTGTCCCACCTACCATGTCCTACTATTGTGTGCAAACTAACCCTGGAGAGGTTTTAAATATCCTCTCAGGGAAGGTATTACAATGCACCATGCTGCCCGGTCAGGTACTCCACATTTCCTGTGCGCCACGTGACCAGCGTCTCTACGTCACAGAGGAGTGACGCAATCACGCTGGTAATGTAAGAGCCTGCAGAGCTCAGACAGGAAACATAAATAGTTGTGTGTGAGTGAGAGAGAGAGTGACGTCAGCTGGGGGTGGTCTGATACAGTCAGCGGTATTTTCCCAGACAGTGGTTGCTATGGAGACCTGGAGAGGGGCTAAGGAGCAAATACTATCAGGAAACCATTTATGGAAGTAAACATAGTGAAGAGTGCCAGACTTGGAAGTGTAAAACAGGAACTTGAGCTAGACAGAAGTTGTGTTTTGGGGTCATGAAAAAAAGGGAAACTTTCCCCTTTCTTTACAGAAACTCTCCTCTCTGTGGTAATGACAAAATAAGGAAATCCAAATCCTCATAAAGGAGAAAGCGCTCATGTACCCCCCCCCCCCCGGGAGGGCCTTCAAATAACCGCCACAGTCATATTGATCTCTCCTTCTCTCTTTCCACTTTAACCCTCCCTCTCCCCTCACTACACTCTGCATACCTGCTTTATTTCTACCCCCTCTTTCTTACCTTGTCCTTCCCGTTTACTAGTTGTTCTTCGCACCTTCACCGTGCCTTTTTATTTTATCCCAGATGTCCACCAAGGAAAAGCTGATCAGCCATGTGATGAAGGAGGAGCCTGTTGGCAGCAAGAACAAGGTCACAGTGGTGGGCGTTGGCATGGTGGGCATGGCCTCCGCCATGAGCGTCCTGCTGAAGGTGAGACGGGAGAGAAAGAGTTGATTTTATGTGATGTTTCTATCAATGTAGTGTGGAATGAGCAAAGAGAAAGTGTAGATAAGTTTAAAGGTAAAGAAGTAATTAAAATAGAAACTAGAATGAAGCTTTGCCAAGGACAACAGTCGCTTTATGAAACCATATTTAAATTCACTGTTGTTTATTTTTTAGGATCTGATCTAGATTACACACACCTTAAGAAAATAATGTCCTGTTTAATGCATCTTATTTTCCGGGACATGGCTTCATTTTTACATTCTATAAATAGATATAAAAGTGAAGAATACCACTGGGAATAACAGAGATCAGCCACATGTCTCAGTGTGGCTCCTTTCACGGGAGAGATTTGCTGTAACACACTAAGTATAAATTGTGTGGTGGGTTGTCAGAATGACTTACTCTATGTAATGTGTATCATCAGGACTTGTGTGATGAGCTGGCCCTGGTTGATGTGATGGAGGACAAGCTGAAGGGTGAGGCCATGGACCTGCAGCACGGCTCCCTCTTCCTCAAGACGCACAAGATTGTGGCCGACAAAGGTGAAAATAAACAAATATTATCTTCAACCTTTGCTGAGAAATTTTATTTTTTTATACTCTAAAAAAATTATTCCGAGGCTGCATCAGAACGCTCTCTCTGTCATTTTTTACCAGACTACAGCGTGACAGCCAACTCCAAGGTGGTAGTGGTGACTGCCGGCGCCCGCCAGCAGGAGGGCGAGAGCCGTCTCAACCTGGTGCAGCGTAACGTCAACATTTTCAAGTTCATCATCCCCAACATTGTCAAGTACAGCCCCAACTGCATCCTGATGGTGGTCTCTAACCCAGGTTAGAAGGAAGTGAGCGTGCATGAGGGGGGATGGAACGTGTGAGAGGAGTTTGAAATGTTTTCATTGGCTGATTCTCCACTCCTCTTCCTTCTTCACCTTCAGTGGACATCCTGACCTACGTGGCCTGGAAGCTGAGCGGCTTCCCCCGTCACCGCGTCATTGGCTCTGGCACCAACCTGGACTCCGCCCGTTTCCGCCACCTCATGGGAGAGAAGCTCCACATCCACCCTTCCAGCTGTCACGGCTGGATCATCGGAGAGCACGGAGACTCCAGTGGTACGAAGTTTCTCCTAAAAATATCTTCCACTGTGACTGTTTGTTGGTCTAATACAAATCATCTATCATAGGTTCATCATTTGCAGAGTTTCATGCTGACTATTCTATGTCTGTTTCTCACAGTGCCCGTGTGGAGCGGCGTGAATGTTGCCGGAGTTTCTCTGCAAGGTCTGAACCCAAAAATGGGGACTGAGGGTGACAGCGAGAACTGGAAGCAGGTTCACAAGATGGTGGTTGACGGGTGAGGACAATTTCTTTTTTAAGTAAACCAGCATTGAGCTGAAACATTTCTTGCTCACACTCTGCCACCTGCATGGAGTCCAGCAGATTTATGGCTGCAATTGTACAAAGTTGGAGTCATAAAATTGAAACAGGTCTGAAGGGTTCAATGGCAAACAACCACTGTTAATAAACAAAAAGACTGAAAGTCCCAGCGCGCACAGTTTAATCCAAGAGCTGACTTGCTCCAGTGAGGAATTTTACAGGGAACTGAACCCAGAGACAGGCAGAGGCAGGTTCACCGAGCACTGCTGTGTTATATAGCTTTATTATTGTCAATGCCTGGCTGACACTACACACACAATAGATCTACTATCTACTCTCTGTTACACAACACTGTCCTGAGTTCATGACCTCACTTTAACATCCAGGTCTGCCGAAATGAAATAAATGAAAAGATAAATTCCTGACTAAATCATAAATAATTCACATGGACCAGAAATATTTACAGTATCTGCTACTGTGTGCACACATCTGAAATTCAGGAGCGGCAACTACAAACTTCCCCCACACTCAGCATTAGATGAACTGACATGCATTATTTTTTGTTACCGTCAAAGAAATACAACAGATGAATTCTCTGCATGAAAACATCTGGGATGAAAATGAATGAATGAAGATATGTGCGGGAAAATAACGGAGTAACTTCCTCTTAAATGCCAAATGGCGACTGAAAGCTGGATTTTCTTGTTGGTCCAGGAGACATGCAGTTCTCACTTCAAATTGTTTTATTATCATTATGTGTGTGCACCACAGAGCCTATGAGGTCATCAAGCTGAAGGGCTACACTTCCTGGGCCATTGGCATGTCTGTGGCTGACCTGGTGGAAAGCATCTTGAAGAACATGCACAAAGTTCACCCTGTGTCCACACTGGTCAAGGTGAGGTGCCTTGAGCAAGTCGGACAAATCCTAGACGATTCATTTACAAAACAGTGTGCAGACGAGTAATGAGTCGGTCCTCTTCTTCCTCTCTTCGTCTGTTAGGGCATGCACGGAGTGAAGGATGAGGTCTTCCTCAGCATCCCCTGTGTCCTGGGCAACAGCGGCCTGACAGATGTCATCCACATGACACTGAAGCCCGAGGAGGAGAAGCAGCTGGTGAAGAGTGCTGAGACCCTGTGGGGTGTACAGAAAGAGCTCACCCTGTGAAGAGGGCTTCCCTGAATTCTCTGCTCCACCAGGACACCACACCAAGCTCTGTGTGGTTAATCTCCACCTACTTGTACCTCCTGTGTCCCTCACGGCAATGGACGAATGAGACCTTTGAGTATCTAGAAAAGGCCAAGTGTTTGTAGCTTAACCAATGGAAACTAGATTTTAGTTGACATGGGTATCATTTTCCATTGCTGCCTTCCCCCCTCCATTAATAAATACTCAAAAACACATCTAATACCTTTAGCCTTCGATCTTAGCCAGTGTTGAAGCGAGGGGGCATCTACATGTTGTCCTGTCTAACAATCAAATGTAAGGCTATGTGTTCTATGTACTGTATGTTAATGTATACTGTTGCTGTTACTTCTGTGCACTCCTCGTTCGTATTTGGTAGGGATTCTGGGTATTCTCTGGTTGTTACCGGTTGTTTTTTTTCCACTTGGGAATCTCTGTTCATTTTTATATTTGGAGAACAATGGAGACATTCCATTCTCTATAAGGAAGGCTTCCTATAGAGTTGATATCAATCACTGGGCCAAACTCCTGTGATACCAAAGTACCTTATCACAGAAAAGCAATTCACAGTGATGCTGTGAAGCTTTTCACAAAAAAAAAACCACACAAGTGCACTGAAAAATATCTATTAAAAAGGCAAGCTGTTACACAGACAGGTCACACCGGAGAGACTGGTAACAACGTAACTTGCCATAATGTAACAGAGACCCAATTGGAAAGAGTCAGCTAGAATCATTGTTAGGAATCATAATGGAAGTTAACAATCCGAAAGGTGTTATAAGTATGTGCACCCTAAATACCCTCAAAGGGTGTCTGTATTTATTTTACTCCTGACTTTAAGGAAATAAATAACAATAACAGAGAAATATCATATTATTTATGACCGTAAATATACGGATAAGATCTATTTATGTATTGATGTTAAAACGTTGGATACCGTTGATGGATCACTCTAAGACTCTTCCTGTCACGGCAGCTGGATGTTGATTTTCATTTGCCTGTAACATCAAATAAATCTGCCAGGATGACGATACTGATGTGTCCTTTGTCCTTTGCTGTGTTTGTCCTGCAGTCTAGCAAACGGCAGCTCGTGTTTACAGGGCAGCTGAATCAGCTGCTCTCCGTGCAAATCTATGGGTCAATACATGCAGCGGATTAGAAGCTTCTATGCTGAAGAAACGTGGTCACTGCTGCAACAACTAAAAAATATCAGCGTGAACGAGCCACTGCGCTCTGAAATACTATTCATTAGTGCTAGGTTTGTTTGTCCAACAAGTGTGTATGACAGAGATATAACTAAGATACAACTGTGATCCATCAAACACTAAGAACTAGAATGGCACTAAGTAGAGTGAATACCCCACCAAGGTCCACCAGCCACCACTCAGATATTAGTGCTCTAAATATGCAATGTCACAGTGATTAAAAAAAGAAAAACAATTCCTGGCACTGTCGTTTGTCCAGATCCATGCAGAAATGAATTTTCTTTTTTTTGCAGGTGACCGATTTATCCATGTTTCAAGAAAAGTAAATGGTATGATAACTGTATGATAACTCTAAAGGTAAATCTATGAAGTAGACCACAGAGTTATTAAAGTAGTAACTAGAATGAAGAAGGCCCAATAGTCGCTTTATGAAACTAAACCCAACAACCAACAGGCAAATTCATAACCTCCTTGGTTTGAATTTAAAAAGGTTTACTGGAATAATAAGCTCAGAGAGATGAACCTTTAAATCAGATTTTCTTTATTTCTACTGATTTACATAAATCTACAGATATAAAAGAACAGGTGGCTGATTTGGAAACAGAAAAAAAAAATAACAGCAGATATTCTATCATACAATTCAAAGTGCATTTAGTAAAAGGCTAATTTAAATGAGACCTGTTTGCAAACTTTACATAAGTTAACTTTTTGATTAGTACATAGTCCTTTTTTTTTTATCCCTCCAACGTTCTAGTGTGATTCACAACTTCTTTTTTTTTTTTTTTTTTTACTGAAAATCAAAACTTCTCAGCAGGACTGAGAATAAGTGGACAGCACAGGGGGAATAGAAATGTAAAAAAAAAAAAAAAAGATTTCCTTTTAGAAGTATGTCAAGACTGTCACCTGCAATATTAGAGACAGCGTAAGACGACCACTGTACGAGACTGACTGGTTAATGCAGTCAGAGGTTAGACCTGAGCAGCTGACATGCGATCAAACAGCCTCACTCACACCATCATGAAGACAAAACACAGATTGGGGAAAAATATATTATCGTGTGGGTGAAGTGGATGGGTGCTCATAATAATTCAACTCATTAACTGACCCAAACAACACAGAAACACAGTTCAGGTCCATGTTGATCATCAGGAGATTCAGTTGACTCCATGGCTACTGAACATGACCCAGACCCCAGACAGAACTAAATCCTGAGGCTGAACCCCTGTCCCTCCTGAAAGGTTGCCCTGGGTATTTATATCACAGCCTAACCTTTTCATTATGAGGGGTGTGGGACAGCGGAAATATGGGGCTCTCTACAAAGCCCCTCTCCACTAGCCACTGACAATTTGTGCTTACTAGCCAAATGACTTTGTCTGGCAAAGACCAAGATCCTGTGGGCCACGAAGGTAATGCAGCATAAACATGTCGACACAATGACACACAACCCAGCTTCACCACAAACACTCACACACATCATACACAGAATAAGCTCGCTTCTCACTTTTACCTGTACGGCAAATGTTTTTGTGTCAACCACAGTCAATCATTTGTCGTGTCTGGGTCATGACTGTTGACGCGTAATGATCTCAAAGAAGTATTTGGTCAGATCAACATACAAATGGTGTAATACTACAACTGTGGCCACACAGTATGAAATTTCACTGTGCTTAGCACAACAGTCCAATTGTTCTTGAGCGTTGCTGTTCCGATATCTGTCCGATTTCATGGTGAATTTTTTTAAAAAAAGGAGCAGCAATTTGAAATAAAAGAAGATGTTAAAGGAATATAACAAAAAGGGAAAAGAAGAGAGATTGAAGATACAAACGCTTCCAGGTAGTCTGTGTGGGAATCAGTAGAGGTCACTGAGGCCGGCTGTCTTGCGGGCTTTCTGCATGAGGGCACGGAGCTGGAACTGCTTCCTGGACAGGAGGCGAACATGCTGTAACAGAAGAGAATAGGAGTGAATGAAACCTCTGAAATGTGCTTGATTCTCGTGCTCATTCTTCTCACGTGGATCGTCACCTTTAGGAAAACCTCCAAGTCGATGACGCCCCTGCGGAGAGCCTCTCCGAGATAGAAGATAGTATCTTCAATTGCGTTCTCCTCAGCATACAGGTTCAGGATCTGTTTGTAAAGGGGAGCAGTCGGCACAATGACGTCATCAATGTCATTGTTCTCCGACTGGTTCTCCATCTTCTCCAAGGCCTCGCTCAGCTCCTCGTCCTTTCTCTTCAGCAACTCGATGTTTCTGTCAACCTCCGTCTACAAAATAATTACAACCATAAAACCAATAAGCAATTTTGTTATTATGGAAAAGATAATGATAGAGGACATTAAAAAAATACATATATAACTCTCACCACTTCCTGGTCCAGTCTCGAGACCATGTCCTCCAGTTTCTGATGTCCTTTCTTCAGGTCTTCCTCTGTTCGCTTCAGTGCGTCCAGCTCAGCCTGAGCTCTGTCCATCTCCTCCTTCATCCTCCAGCGAAGTTTGTCACTTACTGCTGAAATCAGAGATGCGCGGATGGTGTCCTCACCAATGGTGCCATCCCGGCTTGGACCTTAAGATGAAGAGGTTAAAAAGCGATGACACGCAGTGATTATACAGTTGTTTATCGTCCAACATCAAATCACTGAGTAGACATAAGAAGAGATGAAGAGATCAGTCTTCCAAATTATAATCTCTTGCCTGATGTTTTAGAAATGGTTTCTATTTTGTGATTGTGAATGAGACATAATATGAAAAATCATTGTCACTTGTTATATGAAATCCAACCACTTTCTGGTAATGTGACAACCCACTCTTCCTCCTGAGTCAAGGTTCATTCATTTCGGCCGTAACTTGGGCAATATTGATGGTAACAAGCATCATTTGACTTCCCCTACAAAGGGAGTGGTTGTGAAAACAGAAGTAGAAAGGTTGTGACACATCTCAAAAATTCTAAGAAAGTTTCTGAAAAATAAAAAAACCCCTGAAAACTGATGTAATCAAACAGAATCTCAGCGAAAAAATGTACTTTTCTCAACTTTGGGGCTGCAGTTTATTGCATAATAAAAAGGTCATATAAAGGTTTACAACATTTATTCATGTATTTAAGTGAAGCTTGATATTGAAGGTGCAATATTCTGTACTCCACATATGTACTGTAGATATAATTCATACAAAAGTCCACTGCAAACTACATCTTCTAAAGCTGCCAAATACCAGGATATGTAAGTGTAAAAACACCGATGGATGTCTGCAGGGTCACGACCACTTCAGGAGCAGTCTGGAGACAGCACTACAAATGTCAGAGTTGATCTGCCTTGAGATCAGGGCGGTGTGCAGTCAAACCCATTTCACAAAATGATGGAGGCAGTTTAAACACCTCCTGCACGCTGGTCCCTGACCCGCATTTCACTGGTGCAGACTGGTGTTGGGGAGCGGCAGATGGGTCCCCTTATCATAGGTCTGTCATTGTGTGCAGTTACTGTTCCAATGCTAAATATAGCACTGTGCTCTACTAAGGTTTAGAGTGTGGGCTGTTCCATTTCCTTTTGGGGCCATCGTACCCTTTGGCCTTTAATGCTCCCCACTCTAGTTACATTAATGACCTTTCAGTGGCAGCTCAACACGCCACCATAGTCAGAAGGTGAGAGAGTCGGAGTCAGAAGGTTAAATGTCTTGATTTCTAGTTGACCAAAGATCACAGAAAATGGCAAAGATATAATTTTGTCTGGTGTGAATTGAAGCTTTCGCTTCATATTAAACCATTGTAATTCAATTTCACAAAAACCCAAACACTTTTGTACAATCGAATACTATCTTATAGTTTCTGAGTGAACAGATTCCATATTTTGTTGCATTTGAAAAATTGTTTGAATCCAATGCAAACACACCCTTGATATAAAAGAAATCTCCCCACATACTAAATGTAACACATACCAACTGTGGAGACTGGGGTTTGGGTGGGGTAGTGTGCAGGGCCGCCAGTGGCTGGATATGAGTTGCCCCCTGGGTACTGGTATCCTGGATAGCCTCTGCAAATAGATATATGATCAACAAAAAACTGTTATTTACTTTTTTTACTTTCAAAAACGTTTAAATGCTTATGTTTAACTTTATGATGCAACTGCCCTGGTTGTACAGCTTTCCAGCAACAAATATGCATGTGGGTGATACGCTGCAGCATGAACCGCAAAGACAAGCCAGGGCAGGTCTCTTTTGAAATACAGTATATATGTGTGAGCTGCATGAGAGAGGTTAGAGAACTGCTTTGCAAAGATCTTACCCTGGGTTAGCGTTTGGACCATATGGTGACACTGCGGGCATGCCAGGCATGTAGGAGGCTGAGATAGAGAGTGATAGTGAAACAATGAGGTCTCTGGACAAACCGAACATACAGGATATTCACACTCAGGGGGTATGAACTGTCAGTTGTTTTAAAGGTGTGCTCAGAGCGCCATCTGGTGTAGATGATGAAGTATACCGGTTTTACTGGGGTGTTCGGGCCTTTTTTTGGGCCTTTTCTTTTTACAGTAATATAAAAAAATCATGTCACTCACGGTTTGGGGGTCCAGCTGCCTGGAAGGATTGGTAAGGGGCTTGTGTAGTGGGGCGAGAAAACACAGGAGGCTCCTCTCCAAAGACCACAATCATCACCTGAATGAGACCATACAGGTCTGACTGAGGCTGTAAGAGAAAAAAATGATGGTTACGTTTTGTTAACCAGTACAATTAATGCAGAGTCTCATGTCAAAGGATAACGAGGAAAGTCAGAGTTTAAATGTTTTATCTAGAGTGCAGGTACATTCGTGGCCCTTAGGACCTCCCCATTTCAAAATATCTATAGAGTTCCAAAAGTCACTGCTGCGATCAAACCTCAAAACTTCATCTTTGCTTTTATATCAACACATTCCACAATATCGTCATTGCCTGAATAAACTATATTTCAACATGATGATTAACAACATCGCACTCACATGCTTCCACTCATGTAGATAAGGCAGGTAGATCTTGCCATTGGCATCGATGTGCTTGCCAGTTTTGATCATCATGGCACTGGTGGGTTTAACAAAACATATGGGAGGGTTGTAGGGGTATGTGTCTAGCAACCACAGACACACTGGGATGTTGTAGATATTGCCTAAAAGAAGCAAACATACAAGGTTAAAATGAAACCATCTCAAGTCTCAACATTCTCTGTGTTTGTTATTTGAAGGCATCCTTTTGTATTCTGTTTTCTTTTTTGTTAATTTCTAACAAATGTCTGCTAAATACCAAAACTTAATTATATTTCTTTGTCGTAAGGTTTTGAATACAACGTCTTAGCGATCATTTAAACATTTTTGTTTTAATATGTATAATCAGCTAATATCAAGATTAAATATTTTATTGGCACACAACTCAGTTGTTTGGAATTTGCCTCAGTGTGCCCACAACAAGCTCAGCATAACAAGAACACAAACAAAACACATAACCCCCTCCACCTAAAAATCCACATACAGTATAAATACAGAATAAACAAACTATTTCCTAAGTGGAATTTAAAAACATGATGACGGACTGAAGAAAAACAGGTAGATCGAGAGCATGAGGTGGCACTATACAACTCAAAGTGTGTTTGCAGATACATATGCTTCTATATTTTTATGTGTTTTGGTTTTCCAATGCGTTGAAGTATTTGGGCCAACAAGTGACAGGTTTTACAAAGTGCAGGATAAATAGAGTTAGGTGGAGCTGCCACGCATACAAGAGGGAGAGTTGGTGAACGGAACAAAAATACTTTCTAATTCCAAGGTGGGAAGATGTGCAATGAGATTCTAAAGAGAAAATGTTTGAAAGAGAAGAAGAGTAACGTTCTTTACCTCTGTAGCTCACTGGGACTGTGCCTGTCAAGCTCATCAGGTCTCTTGTGGAGCCATCGTTAAACACTGAAGAAGACACAAGAACATCCCATGTCTACAACAAAGTGAACGTCATGTCATCATACAAGATGCAACTGAGGAAACCAGAATCATTTAATTTACCATATGCGTCCATAAGTGGCTTCAGGTCCTTGTACTGGGAGATGACGGTGGTTATCTCACGCACAGTCAGATCCCTGTATTTGTATTGCTGGGAAACAAAGACAAAGACGGAAAAAAAACATGTTTGTTAGTAGAAATACTTACACTTTAACTTTAGACTCATCAAAGTGGAATTGAATTCATTAGGACGGTAACATGTGGAAAAGATGCACATGTTGCACAACAGCACGCCACACTGTGGTCGGTCGTTGTTGGTAAAATGAAATAAAAGTAATCTCCTAAAAACTGAGAATCGTAGTTTTAATCATGATTATAAAACCCATTAGTGATCTTAGCAATGATGCTACATAGCCAGGGAATGTTACAGGCGATTTTCTTATGGAATTTTGCTAAATGAGTCACATGACAATAGCGAACATTGAAAAATTAAGAATTCAATGAACTGAATCTGTTGGTAAACATAAAGTAAGACTCGTTCCATGAAGTTTGAACCGGCTAACTAGCTAATAGCGCCGTGTTTGATATCGGCAACTTAAGCTAACCTGCTAATGTTGGCTACATCGGTTAAGCTGTATTCTCACCTTCAGCATTTTCTTCAGGTTAGCTTCGTTGACCACCGCCATGTTTTCTAAATATCGGTTTAATCGCTCCTACGGATGCGTTTAAGTGAGCGGCCGGCTGTCTTTAAGCTGGGCTGACAGCTAACACACGCTAACGCCAGCTAGCAGGACTCGACTGAATGCTAGGCTAACGTTAGCCCAGCCCCGGGCCCCGACTACAGCTGAGGCAGTGATCCGGTTTCTATGCGGGGACCTGTGGCTCGACACGAGCGGTGTTTGTGCTGCAGACGCTTCGAGACGCAGGAGATCGACCCGAGGACAAGAGACAAAAATAAAGACGGAAACGGCGGAGAAGCCGAAAAACAAACACACGATCGTCAACAAAAGGAATTTCCGGTGGAACACCTGACTGCTTCCGGTCCGCGTGTGACGAGGGCACAGCTGTGAACATGTGGCGACACCTGCATTAGTCATGTTTTAAAAAACTGTGTGTGAATGAGACTGAGAGGAAAGAATGTGTCGTGTCATGGTAACTCAGGTGACACTTCACCGATGTGCCTTTATTTTGAAGAACGCAATGATCTTATGCTCTGTTATTATTTCCAATGACTTAACAGACAAATGATGCCCTTATTGTGAAAAACACAGTGAAAGGTCCAGAGTGTAAGATTCAGGTGAAAGAGAACTAGTGTAGAATAATCCTCAGGAGGCTTTCACTAGTTCGTCTCTCCTAAATGGTATGAATTGATAGATGGATAGATAGATAGATAGATAGATAGATAGATAGATAGATAGATAGATAGATAGATAGATAGATAGATAGATCACTTTATTCATCCCCCAAAGGAAAAATTAGGGCGTCATAGCAG